TCAATTCGAATTCGAATAAATTTGAATTTGTGCAAATTCACTTATGCAAATTCAAATTTATTCGAATTTGAATTATGGTAGTAAATTCGCAGAAGAATTTGAATTTACATAAATTCAAATTTATACGAATATATAACAAAATATTTAAAGCAGTTGTTAACCATTTGGTTACACTTAAATATGGAAAGGTATGAAGTGTTTCACTTATTCAATCATCAGTGTCACCTCAAAAAATAATTAATTAAATATTCGGAATCAGTAAACAATACGTCATTAGCAGTTCCAATCAAAAGAATATAATATCGGTATCATTTTCTTCTTGTCATAATAATTAGTATATACAAAAACTTGAATCTATTTTATTCAAATATTTCCATCTCTTTTTTTCATTTAGATAAAGCGTCGTTCGGTAGTTCAACTATCCTCAAAATTAATTCTTCCACCAATGGAAATGGAAATGGCTGAACGATGGCATATGAACTGGGAATATGTTGTGTACCGCATATCACATGGTCTACATTTTGCTATCATGAAAAATATCGCTGATATAACACCTCAACAGAGAGTTATTTATATACGTACACAGAAATGTTATCCACGACGATTCATACGATCAAATATTGCACTTGTACAGGTAGGTACTATTACTAAACTGTTTGAAATGTTAAACTGATCATAATATCGATTCATTGTTAATATTTCTGAAAGCATACTTTTGAATTTTGTTCTTTCATAATGTCGAAGGAATAGAATTAATTATAAGATATGAAATTTAGGTTCTTCAAATCAGAGAGTTTCTTTTTCCATCCGAATTTATTCATTATGTTCAATGATTGTTTAAAATTTTCTAAATAATTTTCGAAATGAAATGATTGCTAAGAAATTCCAAATAATTTTCTTCTAGAAAAAGAAAATTCTCAAAGCATCGGAATCAAATTCAATTAAAATGTGTACCGTTGATCGAGGTGAACCATGTCATGTCAAAAATATCAATATTTCTGAGAAACGAAAATGTATAGCTATCAATGATTATTCAACATCTGAACATATTGGCAGGTGTTCATCTAGATCAACCCTAATTAAATGTGATTGTTGTTATGATACAATAGAAACTGAATGATCAATGACATTTGTTTGGATTGTTTTTGATGGATGATTAAAAATTTATGATTATCTTTCTTTTCTATAGAACATTTAAGCCAAAAATTGATTTGTATAGAAAATCGAACTCAATTGTTTCTCAATGTTAATTGTAAAGAATATGATATATAAGAAAGGCTTATATTATGTAACTTTGGTTGAATTACAACGGAATTAAGCCCTATTAAAACCTTTTGTATCCGAGACTATCTAATTCTGCTATTCGGCATGATTATTTCAATATTATCGGCATTTGTATATTTATGAATATAATTTCCAAATTTATCTGTCTTGGGCATTTCGTTAAAGATACATGCCAAGTTTTCCAGAAATTTATTCTTCTTAAATTTCAAATTATGGTTAACTCTTGCTAACCTTTTATTGAATTTCATGAAATAAATGGAAGAACTTATCTATCTTCTAAATATCATCTGATATCTAGGCGATCTATACCAAAATTATGTAAAAAATCTTTTACTGCACTTTGAATGATTCTTATTACACGAGATCATTATAGATTCACTGAAATATTTGATCGATATATTATTTCTTATACCATTCAAAGTTCAGCATTTGATGAGAAAGAATTAGTTTAAAATATATCAGCTTATCATTGGACAATTAATCATAGAAAATGACAATCACATGAAGAAAAGACATGGTAAAAGAATGATATCCTTAACGCTGATTAGATTACCATGTTAATATATGTGCTCTTGCATACAAATTCAATTCAATAAGTAATAATCCAAAGTTAAAACATCGAAACGCCTAACTCAATCCTTCGTTTCAATTCCACATCACCACGTTATGCGGGAAGAACGGACGCAACTCCAAGTGTGAAAATTACGTTGTTAGCACACAAGCCAACCAAATCCAAAGAGCAGTGCTCAAATCTCGCCGTGGAAATTAATACATGTTGATAATTTCAACAGAAACTATTCAGTGCTATTGCAGGAAAGTCTCGAAGAAAATGATATGCAACAGATAAAACAGAACCGACAAGCCTATCACTGAGATATCTTTGGGAAGCTTAATTTGGAATATTCTTAGCATAGCCATTTAGGAATGCTAAAATAATTTGAGCCATATTTAATTATATAACGTTATTGTTTTCAAAATGGAAATGAATGAAATTTATTCAAAATGTGTTATGAAACACTTTGAAATGATAATGCGATGGATTATTGATTGATTGATCACTGCGCAAAAAGATAACATTTTACACGGATCAATTCTTCAATGATCATTTATCGCTAAAATTTAGCTGGCTCTGCTCGACATTCGCAGCTCCCTCTGAAACTCTCACAGTTTGATTGATTATTAACCACACATCGCCAATAACTCTTGCATTTGCTTTTGCATGATCTCACTCTGTAATTCAACTATTTTCAACAATTTGAAATAACTTGAAACTTTTGAAATATCGAAATTTCTTAGTTGTAAAAGGGTAAAAAGCATTTTATCTTATATATCTATTGAATTATTAATTTTTTAATTAATTAGCAAAATAAGAAATGACCTTCTTGCTGTTACATTAGGCATAGCAATGAGAACAATCATAAATAATACAAGCAATTTGGTTGTTTTCGACATTTTTAGATTTCAATTGAAATGAAACCCTTCAGATAGATTGAAATCAAAGAAATAGAATTGATCGCGTCGTTAAACCAACCAACCAATCAACCAGAAAACCTTCGCCGACTGAGCAATATTACGCCTAAATTTATTTTTAAACAGCTGGATAATATGCAAATTTTAACAACAGCTATTTCCATCATAAGTTATATTTTATCAATATAATAATAAATTTTTGAGCGTTTAGTTAATATGCAAATTTGTTATGAAACAATACATTTCGTTAAAAATATGTAATAGTTCTAGTGATTGGTAATTTATCTGGAAAATGAATTAAACAGTTATGGAAGAAATTCATCGTTAAACATCGATACAGTGACACTTTTGGTTTGGATACAATATGATTGAACACAATAAAGAACTTTGAAATTCACCTTGTAATCTTAGCATGAGATTAGGTTGAATCTTTGCAAGATATGAAATTTCAAAAGCT